CGTCACTGTTACGGGCGAACAAACCGCACGGTTGTTCGTCGATGGCGTGTTCCGCTATCACGGTCTCTCGGAGACGATTGTCTCGGACCGAGACCCGCGATTCACGGCCGCGGTTTGGAAAACGCTGTTTCCTTTACTGGGAAATCGTCTGCAGATGTCCACAGCGGACCATCCTCAGACAGACGGCCAGACGGAGCGCGTTAATCGAGTGCTCGAGGACACTCTGCGCAGTATGTGCGCGGAAGCACCTCGTATGTGGTCGACGCAGCTTCCAGTTGCTGAATTTGCGCTCAACAACGCGGTGCACGCGTCCACGGGGTTCACGCCGTTCTACTTGAACGGCTTCCGTCACCCCAGAGTGCCTCTCACTCTTCGAGGAGACACTGACTCCTCTATTCTAAGTGGGTGAGAGGCTCGAAAAGCCCTTTCCTCCCAGGTCTCGGATGTGAGACCAGTTTCGCTGCGGAAACAAGTGGAATCCTTTGTGAATACCAAGGTGAGCGTTGTCAGCAGGGTCCGCGATGCCATGGCAGCGCTTTAGGATATACAAAAGGAGTACTCAGCCAAACAAGGAAGAGAAAACTTAAGTGTATTCAAGGTGGGGGACTTAGTGTTACTAGATACGAGGAACCTACCGCTTGACACTGTCAGCTCTGTCGGCAGCAACAACCTGAAGTACCGCTTCATCGGACCATTTGCAGCCCTGGCCAGACATGGTGCGTCGTACACCATCGACCTGCCTAGGACAATGACTACGCACCCGACGTTCTATGTTGGACGTCTTAAGCGGTACTTTCGTCCGCAGGGGGTTGCTGACTCGCAGCCCCACCTTGGCCCAGCTCCTCGAAGCGAGGGCCGGCCACAGAAGTCGACGAGGGCGTCAGAGCAGGAACCTAAGCCTCGGTCTGAACGGCAAAGCTGCGGTCAAGACCGTACGCAGGAGGGGCTCCGTACGAACGGATCCCGGAGCCATACGCCGAGTACGTTGAATACGCCGGGTACGCACGTACGTCTGGGAGTGCGCCGAAGGCGGCTCCGAACGTGGCAGCAGAGCCTCGATCCGTCGGATCATGCGGAAGGCCTCGTCCAGATCGGTCGAAGAGGCCCGCTGGTCCACCCGCAGATGTAGGTTCGCGACCTCACGCTCCAACAGGTCCAGGCGGCCCGCGAGACGAGCGAGCTCGCCCTGATTCCCGGTCTGGGTGGCAGCATCACCGCCAGTCCCAAGGTCAAGTGCAATCTCAAGCACGAGAACACGTTGACGGAGGCGGTCAACATCAGGGCCCTGCGTCGGACCCGCAGGATAAGCACTCGGAAGAGAGTGGTGTTCGGGAGGCGCCGAGTACTCGTACTCGTACGAGGGCACCTCCGCCCCTGCTTGATCGGAATCGGGAGGTCCACTACCACGTGGAGCGGATCCTCCAGGAGCAACGGCGTCACGGTAAGCGACAGCTCCTCGTGAAGTGGAGGGGTTATGCCCACTCCGAGAACCCGTGAGAGCTGATTCAACGGCTCCTGATTGACTGCCCGAAGACCGTCGCAATCTGGGAACAGAAGCGGCGGCAGCTTCATAAGTAGTCCGGGGCTTCTTGCCCGAACGGAGTACGGATGTTGACGACACTCCGTACCCACGCTAATCGTGAGCGCTAGAAGCCGCGTGCTTCAGAATGTCCCTTGGCGGCATGCGCTTGCTGACCATGTGAGAAACCGAACACGAAGATCGCGATGGTCCAGGATGCGGGACAGCAGCTGATCTTCATGGAGTTCCCGTAACTCCGTGGGTGAGTACTTGAGAGACTCCACCCAAGCCCAGAACATGTCCTCACAAGAACTCCAGTTGGGACAGTTCTCGGGAAGAACGCAGGGGTAGGCCCAACAAATGTAGAGACCACCCCGGTTCTCGGGCTTCTTGCGACAAGTCGTTAAGTCCTTAAGCGGGACACGGTGTGGCGCGAGAAGCACACACCGAGCCACCTCCAAGTTGTAAACAAACAACTGCTCCTTCTGAACAAGGGTGCGTTCGTAAATGCCCCTAGAAGTGTGGCCGCCGACAAGGCCACGAGGAGCGACGAGAAGCTCCAGGAAGAGGACAGCCCCAGCGCTCTCCTCGGGAGGCCAATACCCTCGCCGGTTGATGGCAGATCCCTGGGAGACTGGTGCCACCACCGAGCCCCCACACACACGGTGGGCAGCCTGGAAGTCCTCCTGCTGCTGGTCGAGGTCGTTAGAGATCCCCCGGGGCTCAGGAATAACACCCTCTTCCTCCTTCTTCTCGTCCTCTTCATCCGAGGAATCGAAGAGGCCTCGATGGGAGTACCGAGTCTTCTTCTCCTCGCGGAGTGGAGACTTGGAAGCCGTACGCTTCTTAGAGGGTTTGGCGCCTTCGGCTTTAGCGGCCTTAGCACGCGCAAGATCCTCATCAAGCGAGAGACTTTTGCGAGGTTTCTCTTCCTCATCGCCACCAGCTTTGGGAGTGACCTTAGCCTTGACGGCCGGACTCTCAGAGCGCACATACGTCGTGGGACTGTGATCACATTGATCACTAGCGAGCGACTGCACGCTGTCGTCTTTGTGCTCGCTGGGCACTGGGCTGTGCCCTCCCGCAAAACCCACAGGAGCATCGTGCGTGCTCTCGGACTCGGCTTCGTCCTCACTGCCAGAGTCGAACTCACGTTCAGCTAACTGAGGGTTCGGGCGTTTATCTGGGGAGGCCGAGGGCGACGTGCTCTCGGACTCGGCTTCGTCCTCACTGCCAGAGTCGAACTCACGTTTAGCGAGCCGAGGGTTCGGACGTTTATCTGTGGAGGCCGAGGGCGACGGGCTGCGGCGCTTGCTTGTTCGCTTGTCCACAGCCGCCTCACCCGATGAGCCGATCGCCTCGAAGGCCACCTGAGTAGCCTCCTGAAGTGCCGAGCCTTTGCCGTGAGGCTTAGTGCTCTTGGCTTGCGCCTTTCCGGCAGCAACCTTGGAGCGTGTCTTCGCACCGCTCTTCGCAGTGCCACGAGGCATGACAACGGTCGAAGTGGAGACCAAGAAGAGGAGCGCACAGGCTGCTGCTCGAGGCTCTAACTGTAAAGTGAGCCTCCGCCGCGCTCGCGCGGCCGAGTCGATGTTTTTCGACTTTGAGAATGAAAGTTTGTGACGTACGCTTCTTCATTCGGATTGGTCGGTAAACCGAACCTCAGTGGGGGAGGATGTAACGGGGTACGTAGCCCTAAGTGTACCCCTAGTTACATGAAGTGTGACACGTCACACTTCGGAATATTTGGTACAAGGTACCAAGGTCGTCCAAAGCCAACCATTGGCTGATGGCATTGCTTTTCTAAAGGTGACTTATAGTTTGTATTTAGCTCAAGCTTTATCTACCTATAAATATACTCAGTTTACATTCTACCTTAAATTGGTCACTTCGCTCCCTTTACGCAAAAGGGGACCTGTGAACTGCCGTTCACCGAGAGCTTGTATACTCCCGGAAGCCAACTTCCTCTAGCGCAAGGTGCTGTGTGACCCCGTCACATGCATGCTTTACAGCACTGATGTCAGGGGTACGTAAAAACCAATGCTATGGCCATTATGTATGGAATCGCGAAAAATGGGACGATAACCATAGTAGTCAATACAAAGTACAGGTGAAAGGTGGAAAGCTCTATCTCAAGTTGCTTTTAGTGTCTCCTACTCATTGGTTACAGCGAGCATATGATCTACCGATAACAGTGTCGCAAACATTTTTTTTCGGTTAACCGTACCCGTCTTAAAGCCCTGGTCATCGAGTTTCAGATGACCATGACCAACCGTACGGACCGTTCGGACAGCCATGGCTGGGCGAAATTAGCGATAGGCTAACCGAAATATACGTGTAATTTATGTATAACATAAAAAGGCGAAATATCATATTCTTGTTGAATATTTTCGCTCAAAATATGCTGACACGCAACCTTCTCTCGGTTAAAAGCGCGAGTCGAAACCAAAACTCATAATAAAGGAAAAGAAGCAAAAACAATAAAATACCCATCCTCTGGTGAACTCGGCCAACCATAACAAACCGATATTGGGAGTCGGTTATCCGTACCCTTCCGTTTTTCAGAGAGGCAAATTTTCGGTTAACCATACCCGTCCATGGTATGCTACGATTAACCATTTGTGCCCTCTGCAGTGCATTTAAAATGTGTCCTTAGGTGAGCGTCGATGATGCCTCTCCACCACACTTCCTGTTGTGTATATAGTGCAGATCAAGGATTTTGGGGTATCTTCATTATGGACTATGGGCCCATAATGGAAGAGCTGGGATTTTGCCCTCCCCATCAATAGTCCATAAGACAGAATCGCCGTGCCGCTTCAATGAGACTGTACCGCCGGATTGGTACACTCTAGATTGTAGTAGCTCCATAATTTGGTGGCCCATATGTAACGGAATATACCGTTAACAGGCCTCGTATAAATTAAACGTCCGACGCAAAAAAAATACTTGTATCGAATTGAGAAATCCTTCGTAGCTAAAACACACACCTAACGCGTACTCTAAAATAGCTCTAATTGTCCTAAAAATACTGGAAGATATTTCAGTATACCGGTACCACGGATACGTTGCAGTAATTAGGTTACCAATTAGGACAACTTGCTAGTAACAAATCCGATGAAATAACACTACTTGTATCTGTAAGAATAGTCGTGTTGATATTAGATTAACCCGCGTTTAAGACAACACGTGTTACGCCAATCTTGCTACCACGCGAGTAATTATCAGATTAGATTACTAATTGTGCGACTAAGTTGGCTACTCAAAGTGCAGGTATTAATAATCTGCTGGCACACGCAGCTCCACAAAGCCTGCATGTCTAGGCGGATCGCGACGATGATGCTTGATGTCGTCCATCATTTGGACGTAGCGGCGCGCATCTGCCTTCGCTGTTTCACCAAAAGCAAGGAGATTTGGGTGCGTAACCGAGAACAATTCCCGAACGCACGACTGTAGCGCTCTAAAGGATTATTCGTTCGGTTGATCAGGTCAATCCCTCCCGCCCGCATGCTGTTGACGTTCCACCGTAGCTGTTCATCCAGGTGTTTTTGAAGTAGCGCCAAAACGTATCCCACTTGGTCTTGGCTCCCGTTTCATCCACCAGGCTGCGCACGTAGCGAATTCCCTAAAATAAAAAATATTTATAAAAAACCAATAGTTGTAAATCATAAAAAATATATCATAGAATAATAGAATGAGATACATGTAATACCTTGTCCGCGATTTCGTCTACCGGAATAATTGTGAGTACATCAATCACATTTGGGGCCAGCTGCGGGATGCGCTCGCTCAGCATCTTTCTACGAAGGGCTTGCTTCCAATGAACAAGGCATCCCACGATCTAAACAATAGGAAAGTGATCCGTCATGGCGTTCATAAGCCCGTTTTCGAAGTCGCATGTCACTGATGCGGGCTCGAGTAGACGCACAGTCTGGATGATCACGGCACTCCGTAGACCTCCTGATGTTTAGAATACATCAGTACGTACATTGCCGGGACGTATAAGTCTACCCCGGGGTCTCGGACCATCACGATGAGACACTGAGTGAGCGGCTTTGGAACCCCTCTAAAATGATCCATCGATGAAGGGCGCCGTACCGGTGTAGCGCAGCAGCCGTATAAGATCCGGATGTCCAAATCCAATACATCTGCGTTGCGCACACCCATAAGTGTGGACCACACTGAATTAAAGGAATGGTCTCGGGTCGTCTTGGGCAACGTTCCGGGTTGGAGCACTCTCGATGGCACGAAAAGCGTCACTGCCCGTGACCTGGCTCCTCGTGTACTTGACGATTGAGATCACAGGGACTCTGCCGATGGTGTTTCGAATCGCACCCGGGTACGCCTCTCGCATGCTTGACATAGTCCTCTCCCACACCATGCCGGGAGGCTACGCTAGGCTCGATAGACATGCGGCCTGGAGGGCGACACGCATTTCTTGGCGAACGTCGGTGACTTCCGGCGGCGTCTCCACCATGCAAGAGTGGTCATTGCGCGCTCTGACTTTCCCGTCACGAACAGGCGAGCTCTACACCCAGCTCGGTGTCGGGCACATACCCAGTTGGTAGTGTTAGTCTCGGCGACCTTACTCTGGCAGTAAAAGTTGTAGCCTGTGTGCTCCATAGTAGATAGGAAAATGAAAGAACGACTTGAGCTTATGTCCAAAACTAATTTGAATGGCGTACGATAATTGGTGGGGACGACTTGGATTTGCTAAAAAAAAAAGCAAAAAAATACCTTGTTGTAATTTAAATGTTTTTTAGAACAAATTCTCTAAAATATGGTATTATCATTTTAGGCCAGTTTAGATCAGTTTTAGGAACGTTTTCTCTGCTACCAACCTGTAAGCAATCGGAAACAAAGCAACTTTGCAGAGCATAGTTGCTGGCTTTACCCATTGGACCGCAAAAACATGCACGTTGCTGTCCGTTGGGTCTTGCTGTTCACTGATTTTGCCCTAAAACGTTGATTATCTACATGTTGTGCTGCATACATGCAAATGTGTACTGAAAATTGTGTTGCGAAATTCCAACTTGTTCCTTCAATGTCGCTCCAGTGGATAAGAGTGAGCCACAGGCGACATCCACCTAGTTGATCAGACCTCATACTTTATTGGTTATTACAGCTACTTTGCTTGTGGTTGTTATCGAGATCTCTACAGTCTACGACTTAAAGATGTGCTTTGAAAGGATTCCCGCCAAACACCCAAAATTTAGCGAAAAGCCTTAAGATACTCGAGGTGTATTAGATTTCGAGGTCTGCGCAGTGCATTTGAGGCTGCGTCAAACAAAATGATACTTACGAACCATTTAGAGCTATCGAGATAATCGGCCAATTAATTCGCACTTAACCGAAACTATGACATTTATTGTAAACTTCCACTGAAAAATCTGTAAAACTACCCTTATTCAATTGCTTTTAACAAAAGCTTTTAAATTAAACTTGAATTATTTAAAATTGAAAAAATATTGAGCTCACAACACTCCTAAATGTATCGTCATTTCGAGGGCCCATAAATGGAGATAATATTTGTGAGCGACCACAACTTCTTCAGTTTTAAGCATTCTGTAGCTTATAAGGGCTCAAAAGATAGAGGAGACACCCCGCTTTCGTTTAGAGAGCTTAAATCGCGATTCGTACTTAGGTTCATAAGTACTGGTATCATTTTGTATTCGGTGGTTTCTGCTATTTCTACATTTTTAGATAATATACTACGTGAGAGAGAATTGGGATCGCGAGACACTCTGATTTTTTTTCCAGAGAATAGTACACCCACTCTATCAAGTTTTCATGTCGAGTACCTTAACTTTCTGTTAGGCAATACATTGTTATGCTTATTTCTCTCGAATACACTACACCTTACGAGCACTAACGCCGAGAAGCGACGTGATTTACGGAGAACAGAAGGCGCCATGCAGGACTCTTTACAGTACATGAAGTACGTCAAACTTTAAAATTTCCAACATTTTCTTTTCATTTGAATTAGCGATAACCTCTTGGTTATCTTGGCTGGCCAGAAACAGGTTTCGTTTACCTCAAGTTTTTAATACACTCCAAAAAGCATACCCTAGCGTATACTAATGGAATTGTATACCGTTTATTATTTGGTAGAACCCGTTAGTAGTATTCAGTAGTCATAATTGCCTGCTTCTCCAAATGCTTCGTCTGGCTTTAGTACTTGGACACCTAAGAAGAAGGGGGGTACTTGACAGAAGGCAGCAAAATGAGAGGCTAACGTCTTTAAGTCTTCAAGCTGGGCATTCGGACACACTCGAGTCATCGCTGTTCGAACAGATTCATGATAGGTTTCCTTTGAAAGCTCTTTGACGGTATTGCTTGTACACTCTAGTACAAGTTCAGTGGAATCTGTTGATGATGCAGCTTCGTCGTCGTGGCTTGTGTGTGATTCTACTGCCTCCTCTTCTCTTGTCCGCGTCTTCACTTTAAACACTGCATTCTGAGCAATCATTAGCAGAAATGCGACGGCTTTCCGGCGTGACACAATGTGCGCCTTTGCTCGTGAAGCCATGTCGCGCAGAGATTTCATGCAGCGTTGCTGTCGTCTGGCCAAAACTCGAGCCTTTTCCGCTGCTAAGAGCCCCTCTTCCCGTGCTCGACCCTTCCTAGCGCGCGAACGAGGTATGAAGATATTCACTACATTGGTGTATAATTCGGGTGCACTCCTGGTAGCCTCAGTACCCCTAGATTGCTTCCAAGAATCCGCAGCAGCATCGTTGTCAGTTAATACTACACCTGCTGGCAAAGTAGAGTTTCGGTGTAATTCTGCAATAGCTCTCTTGCATCCGCTCCGCATCCACTCCGAAACATTGTGGCTCGAAAAACTGGTCAAGTCGTTGCGAATGAGGTCGTCAATCACGAGTTTTACTCGTCCGACTTCGTTTGAAACCACAAGAGCTGCTTCTACTTGATATTGCTCTGTGTAAGCCTGAACGAATCCTCCATAGTGCAGCAAAACTTGATTCTTGTGGGTCACCCAGTCGTCGGGAGAAACTACTACGTCACTGTCCAATGTATCAATTCCAGCGAGAACCCGTAGGAGGCCCATGAAACTCTCTCGGCGGACTAAACCTCGCTGCTGAGGATCTAATTGTTTAAGCACCTCCAGCATGTCGATTCCGGCCTCTCGACAGCGTCGTACCAATATTTCCAGTAAGCTTGGTGAGGCCAAATGGGCGTCTGTTGTCTCTGGTTTGGGTAGAGACTCAATGTCACCAGGTACTTTACTGACGATAGGCGCACTCTTTTCAATGGCTGCGGCAGTAGGTGGTGCGGACTCTCGTTTGGCTGCTCGTCTTTTCTTGCTGCGAGGAGCTGGAGATTGAACTATTGGTGCTAATAGAGCAATGGGGTCTCGGGGAGACGTACAGTAAACGCTTGGAGATAAGACTTCGAACGGCGAGCGGCGTGTCTTCGCAGCTGCAATTGTAGCTCTTCTGGCTTCTTCTAGTTTATGACCCTCTACTGCTTTATCAAGGATTTTCAAACCAACAGCAGCTTGAGGATGCAGGTTAATAATTGACTCTAACCGCGTCCGAGCTTCTTCCAATTCTCCCACAGAGGTCAGGGCACGGCCAAGCTTATAAATCGTGTAAGGGTCTTGAGAATTCAGCTCCAATGCTAGCCGGAGTTCCTCTATACTCGCTGTCAGATCCTCTGCTTCTTCGTACGCACAAGCCAAGTTAATACGCAACCTGAACTGCACGTCGTCGGTGGTCTCTGATGATAACGCCTGCTGATACAACTCGATAGCGCGCTGTAGTTCTCCTTTCGAGTGTAAACGCACGGCTGCCTTTGTGACCATTTTCAGCTTTTGAGTTCGCTCTAGGCATGCGTGATTCTGTGGCAGTGACCGCCACCACCAGTCGAAACCACTTACTGAATTGATACACTCAGAATTCCACGAGGTTTTGTCAGAGACGGCAATTCGAGACTTGGTTAACCTGCTACCACTTGGGCTTTGCGGAGGTGAGTTGATTGCTGGGTCATGTGCTTGATTGGCTTCTATGTCGGTACTGCGTTCAACTCGAGATGGTGGGGCGTTTGGGGTATTGCAGCGGTATTGTCGCGGCCCTTCAACAGCAGCAAGTTTAGGCATGCTAAAGATCTGTGCACGTCTGGCTTGTTGGACCGGCGAAGTCAGCTGACGCGGCAGGGGTAGTTTAATGTTTGGGCTATACGGGGACGGTGCTTCTTGGTACAATTTGGACATTGTCGTTGGTGAAAAGAGCGGCCGATGGGGACTCTGATTTCTGTGGCCATTTGCCAAGAGCGGAAGTGTGCTTCCTTTGCCTAGTGCACGCAACGGAGAAAAATGTGCCATGGGAACGCTACATGGACCCGTCTCCCCTGCTGCAAACAGTTGAGACGGTGGAATGGGCATTTCGTCTAAAAAACACGCCAACAATCTCGAGGCAAGCTCACACAGCGTCGAGTTGTCTTTGTGTCGTTTCTGCAGGGAGAAAACGAACATGTTGGGCTGCCAAAATTGACCCTGAGCAGCAACTTTGCATGCTTTGACAGCTGCAGAGCTGTCTTCTTCACCAAGAAGTACCAGCAGTCGTAAGCACGTGATCTACAACAATGACGGCAACAATAACAACGGAGAGCCTTGTCACATTCGAATGGTCAACAAATATGTCGGACGATGTTGCTACCACCGAATTTAGATGGACATTAATTGGCTTTCTTCGGTAGTGCTGTACTGGTTACAAACATATGGGAAAAGGTTACCCATCAAAGACGGTAATTAATGTTTATCTGTGGTTTGGTGTGAGAAATATACACCACAAAGGCCCAATCTTTGTGGCTCAAGTCTATATATAGAAGTTGTGCGACTTAGCATTTTTTCGATGCATGCATGTACGCGTGGGACCAAATGTAGAACCAAACAAAAGTAGAGTTGTGTATATTTTTGGTATACAAATGTATATCACAAAATTGTTCAACAGGAAGGAATGAACTTACACGTCAATGACAACGGACTCTCTCTCAATGAAAGCAATTGCTTTGTACAGCAGACGCATGCGCAAATACGGCACAAGATTGTAGACACAATCGTTCCAAATGGCGCCACTTAAAAGCATTTCCAGTATGGCAATGCTCCACACGCCACAGGAGCTGGAATCTTGTTGCGTACACCAGGTAATGCGCTCATAGTGCAGCATGTCTTCAAGACCCAAAATCTTCTCAACCACTGCACGCACACTCGTCTCGATGGTAGTGTAGTTTGCATCGATTGAAGTGGGTCGAACATGAAACAGATTCTCTTCTTGTTGTCCACGAGAAACGCTACCCAGTGTAGATTGAGATTCATAGCACCAATTACACGTTGGTTTTGGGGATTACAAGCACCCAATCCTTTTGCCACACGTTTCTTTTGCTCAGGTAGCGCGAATCCATGGTAACTTGGACTCACAACTCCAACATTGCGATATTCGTCGCGCAACATAAGCAGGGAAACGAGAATCGACGTTGTGTGCAGCCAAAGATTTTCACGCATGTCCAAAATTTGATGTCCAGCTACGAGCTCCCCCGGTACTCGATTCACAGCCAGATTAAGAGCATAAACGCATTGTTTGTGATGGTTCTTCAAATTTAACATAATACAGTTTTTCTGTTAGTATTCGGTGTACCTTCGGTTGTGGTACTGTACGAGCATTACCTTCGTTATGTGACTGGTGTCCACGAATGGATAGCGAATGTCTTCAACTTGCCGTTCCACATCGTCGATCCACTTCATCGTACGAGCCACCAACTTGAAGTGATTGCGAGCTTCGATTATACTGGCCATAGCATCCAGCTGGTCCAATGTAGCACTTCCGTAATCTGGCCAGTACGCGAGTAGGTTGATATCCTCTGCTGCCTTGATAGCTTCAATGCCTTCAATGACCTTGGTTAACTGAGGAATCTTCGTCACAACTGGGACTTTTTGGCCCACATTAAAGGGTCTGACCGAAACTGGTCCGTGCAGTTCAACACTTGGAATTTCAAGGGCCTCCACCATATCTTTAGCCTGAAATGCGCTGAATGGCCCATCCAGAAGCGCAGCCACCTCATCGAGCTTAACAGTCCTTGTCTTCTTTCCTTGGCGATGTTTTGCAGCTAGAGCACGCGCATTTTCCTGGTCTTTCTTGCTCTGAGCCTGCTTTCTCTGAGCTTTTGTCATGCCACTAATCACGGGTCGGTCTGCGAACTCCCATGTTACTGCTTGTGCGGGCCCTAGCGTCGGTCCAGCCTTTGAATTATCTTTCTGTGTAGTTTCGGCTGCATTTGGTGTACGTTTAGTTTCAATTTCTTCACATTCTTTAACAACCGTATCACTTTTGCCTTGAGCTGCAGTATCCTCTACATCGGTCAAGAGTTCGTCATTGTGATGTGGTGGGGGCGAGACCTCAGCAAATGACATCTGGGATAAACGTGCACCAGTGGCCGAAGGCATCTGCGACAGCCCGGGAAAAACTGGAACTCCCTGACTTGAATACTCCACCACACATCCAGTGTTGAGCGCCGTGTAAAAGTCCTCAAGCCACCGCAACGCGACTCGGTACGTCGGAGTCGACTGCAATACCATGCGGTCGATAATTTTGTCAGTGACTTCCTTCGCCTTGCAGTACATGTCGGGGCTGTTCAGTGCCTTCTCCTTGGGGAGTGCAGGACACGTAACTGGCTTCATACCACCAGAAAGCACTTCACCGTCTCCAATGTTATTAACCGAACTGTGGACAATCCATCTTGCGGGGAATGAGCGCATGGGAGGAATCATTGTCTCGAAATTACAAGTACTTCTGACGAACATCACATGACGACACGGTAGTATGCAAGTCTTCATAAAGATACAGTCACACGAATTCGTCTACATAACACACGAGCTAGTTAATTAATCATGTACCAAAAGTACACAGAAAATTACATAACCAACACAGAACACTGTACATACCTGAGTGTCCACTACATGAACTTGGCCGGACCCTGGACTCGTCACCCTCGCCGTTCCTTGAGCTACGACTTCCACCTGGTAATCTGCACCGGGACCCGTCGCTAATGCATGTTGCGAGGCCACTAAATCGAAAGCGAACGTGCTCACGAGCAAAGCCAAAGACGAAAGTTCTGCGTCTTCGTCACACCGGGAAGGCCTGCTCCCAACCTTGTGATATTCCGCGAGATACTGTTCCTCTGCATACTCTTGAAGGGTAATCAGCGTAGATAGAAGCTGGTCGATAGTAAATGAGTCATTTATGACATCTTTGATCTTGCCCCACTTTGACTCAATCCTGTTATTGGTATTGTTTGTCAAGTGGGGGACGTTGCCGCGCTGGTAAGAGACCCACTTCTCTTGACTGTTATCCCAGTTTTCCATAAATGTCCTGTATAACTGGTGCCTTGTATCGCCACCAAGTTGCTGCAACATTGCTCCACGAGCATCTTCATGCTCCTTTTGTGAGGTAGCGTAAAGCAGAAGCCTCACCAAACTTTTCATTTACTTCTTCACGGCGGGTGCCAACCTGGTGACCTGTTTCTTCAACCATGTAATCACGTGCCACTGGCAGAGCAGCTGGCGGGCGTCAGGAAACATCTCTTGTAGTACTTCCTTCTCATGGACAGCTTTGTCGGTCATAATCACGCGTATCTTCGTCCATTCGGGGTTGTTGGCTTTGAAAATCTCCACTACGCGCCGCAAATTGACTTTGTGCTCACTTTCTACAAGAGCATGGTGTACGTATTGGCCCTAATGGACGTGTTAGATTAATAACTAATGAATAAAACATCTAGCTTTACACGCATACCTTTCCGAATACATCGTGAACTACAAAGCTGAATAACTTGTACCGATTGACGTTCGTGCTATGAGTGGAATCGACCATGACGACCTCAGGAAAAGCCTTGAACAATCTTTTCATCTTTGCGGTCTGGAACGTGGCGACACGAGCAACGTCTGTCTCACAGTCGACCAAAATGTCAGCAGAGTTTCCGCCGTTTTGCCTATCAAACTCGTCCAGGACTGCAAACGCCCTCTGAGCATCGTTAAGCCCCGCCTGCTCCTTCATCTTATGCCGCTGCACCATATTATGAACGTCACGGAGAGTAGTTCTCTTGCCTATGTTATAACACCAAAGAAAAACAGAAAAATATCATTAACCGAAAACATACCAAACAAGTGATGGTATGTACCTGTGCGCTCCCGTAAGTACTTCAGGATTCCCTGAGCATTAGCTCCTGCCTTGCGAAGTACTTTGACATCATTCGTCAACCGCGGGTCCTTGACAATCCTGTTCTCTGCGTAGTTCTCCCAAATGCGCTTGTTCAAGTTGTGGTTGTGATTCCCCGACGTGGTTACCCTCACGTACCACGTACCACTAATGCTGGAAGTCACCCGCGCGTTCACGCTCGCCGTGCACTTCGTATCACAAACCAAATTGTGTTTTCTGGATCCTTTGCCGCGGGGCTCATACGGCTGACCATGGGTGCACACGAGCGTCTCCGAGTAAGTTTCCCACTGCTTGGGAACCAAACGAACATCTTTCCGCTTCCTCTTTCCGGCCGCCATGGTCTTCTTCGCAGCCCGAAGTATCTGCTTGTTCCGTACCTTGACAGACGTGCTTGTCAGCTTGGAAAATTGCTGGAAAGACTGGACTTGGTGGGCGTCAAAAGCAGCGTGGAACTCCTCCCAGGTATTAAACATCTTGTTACCTGGTTGGAAGAATGAATCACCAGCGTCTTGTTTCTTCTTAGTAAACGTTTGGTGTACATTCGGTGATAAATTCGGTTTGTCTTTGGTATCACTTGAATCATCACTTGAATCATCATTTGCGTCCAAAACGTCTCCACCATCGCCTTCACTTTCGACTTGGGTGGTACCACTGGCGGCACCATCGCCGCGATCTCCATCATTCTCGGCCAATAATCCTTCAGATCCCCCTTCCGCTGCATCACTTTCGCCACTCTCCCCTTTGGTCTTGTCGTCTTCGTAATCGGAGTCACTGCAAGACACAGACGGTTCGCTATCGACTTGATCAATAGCCTCCAGCGCCTCGTGAAGCGCAGCGTTGTAGTTCCTTGAGTTAGACTTCTTGCGGGACCTTGGCGCACTGTCGTCGCTGGCTTTCGTGGGATCTTCAGCTAGCAGCGTAGCAGCGGTACTGCGCGTCACCATCGTCTTCCCCTCGGCCACGAGACGTGCCGCTTGCTTTTGAAGCTTTATTCGCATGAGTGTTTCAGTATGATACGCCGCGCGATCATTGCTGCCTCGGTCGTGAATTGGAGACGGGGGCAGTTTCTTCAAAGCTGCTAGCGTATCATCCCATTCCTTTCGCTTTTTGTCACGAATCCGGATGCGATCCAGCTCTGCACTATCCCGCAGCGTGCGGTCCACACGCCCGTAGCCTGGATACGGTGGAGAATTTGAACTGTCGCCCTGTTAACATCATAGCAGAGTCAGTGAGTGAGTGTAATAGAGTGAGGTGTTGTGTGTCAACGTACCATTCCTGCTGTGTGCGCCGCTAACCGTGCTGGGACCTTCAATCTGTCTTCTGGCTCCAAGGGGGGGGGAATCGACGAATGCCAATCGAATCGTGCGGCGCACAATTTTCCAAAATCTGAGGATTTCAAACGGTAAGGTATTTTATCGTCTCTTCAACCCAATCCCCGGAAACCGGCTCTATAAGTGCAACCGAAACTTGACTGAAAGTGACAGAACTTACACTGAAATCAGTTCCTAAATTTGGTGGTAGCAGCGTCTCCCAAATATGTAACACAGAAGGTGCTGCCGCATGTCATACTCGCTTTTGAGTCTCCGTGAAGAGCGTCAAGAACCGAAATATACAGCTAGCGAGTCTTAGCATAGTAATCGTAAGCAAACAAAACTCAATTTGCCAAAACAATACATACTTGACTGAAGCGCGTGCGCTCGAATCGATGCACACTGTAGCAGCTCCCAAACCTCAGCCAGTAGATCCTCCTAAGCACAGAACCAAATCTTAAGTTTCACTAGTAAAATCCTACTGCAAATCGATGCTGGTACCAGATTGTCGTGGGGACATCTGCCGATGGAGGAGGCAAACAATAGGGCGGCCATAGGGTCCACAACGCACGTGGAGAAGAGCGACTCGGAGTGTGGCAATGGAGCCGAGCGCAGTCTCTCCACAACCGTATCTCGATGCTTCTTAATTAGGTTCTTGGCCTGTGGGGACGCAGCCGACGTAATCATTCGGATCTTCTGAAAGTAGGCGTTCATCCAGAGACTATTACGCTCGAGTAGCGACGGCTCTACGCTGAAGCTCGGGTGCAACCGAGCGTATCGGCCTAGCCAGCGGTGATTTACGGCCACCAATGCCTCGATGGCGTCGCCATCCTCGACCTCTCCGTCGGACAGCTCCAGTTCAAGCAGCGCGTCCATGATTCCTAGCAGCCCAAGTGTGTTTAATAAGCCGACCGTTGAGAGTCACGAGGCCAGTTTATTGGCCCAGTATCCTAGGATACAATTGATTGCATGAATACTTGTCCTGCAGTGTTGGGCCAGTACGATCAAAGCCGGTTTGTATATGTAGTGGAGGTGACAGCATAAATAATTATTTCCGTGTCCAACCGTGAAAGCTACTCCCAACCAAGCTAGGCTTCGGGATATCATATATGAAGATAGACACGACTAGGTTCAGAGAGCTCATGGTGCGCAGCGGGCTGAGAAATTCCCCAACGACACAAGTCTGGAAACAGAACCACGCTTTACACGATTTTTGTTGGAGTTTTTTTTCTCGCATAGGCAAGGTTGAGACCGAAAACCGCAAGTTCGATATTTTATCGCCGCAGACGGCAAGTCTGTCAGCGTAGGAGTCCGGTAAAGTACAAGACACAGCACTTGGTTTTGATGTCAGCTTTCTACGTGATACGTAGGAGACCAGTTTTGCGAGTGAAGGGAATACTTTATTAATAAGAATACCTTAAAACAGTCCCGTGGCCTCTCAAAGTTGTGCCGAACATTGTCATCACTTTTGAAACTCTTCTGTCGTACGAAGTAGTATTTATCCATCAATCTTACTTCACGATCTAATTGAATCTTGTGTAACCGCTGTATTATCATTTGCATGCATTCGTGAGTACATGATACCTGAGTTCTGACAACGTAGGTGTACCGATTATCATGAACGCGCCCGCGACAACCCTGCAATAGAGTTTTCACGACGACATCATTTACAGATTTTAAATGTTGAAGAGTGCTACGTCGGAAATGCTCAGATATAAGGCGCTTGGAGCCACGCCTCGAAGCGTTTATCACATGTTTAATATTCATGAACTCAATAATAACAGCTTTTACCAGAAGAACCTGGTTCCGTTCAGCATCCCTTTTTAATGCAGGTGGTGAGTGCATGCAAGCGCGGCCCCCGTAGTTACGTTTGCTGGACAAAAAGTAGCTGTGTATACGAGGGCTAGGAAGGAATTATTGGAATACAATGGAATGGTTGATTTCTGTGGTGGACATGCAGGCTTAATTAGCACGACAGAGTTAATAAATACCGCCGGACAAATATATTTAACGGACAAATAATTATTCTGTTTTCTCTTCGTTTTGTATCCCAAAGTGTGAAGTGTCACACTTCAAGTAATCAGGGGTACACTTGGGGTACGTACCCCATTAACCCCCCCCCCCCCTACCACCACCACCACCACCACCACCACTTAATTTCCATTTAGCCATCAAGTAGAATGATTCTCAAAGTCGAAAGACATCGACTTGGCTCCGAGAACCCGGCGGGTGCTCACTTCACAGTTAGAGCCACGAGCAGCGCTAAAGCATTCTTCTTCTCGGTCTCGACTTCGACCTTAAGCATGTTCCATGGCACAACGAAGCGCGGTGAGAAAGCACACGCTAAGGCAGCAAAAAGCCGGAAAGGGGTAAGCTAAGAGCACTAAGCCTCTCGGCAAAGGCTCTGCACTCTAGGAGGCTACTAAGGTGGCCTCGGATGCGCCCGCTACGACCGGTGACACGACTGCGAATAAGCGCGCAAGCAAACGCCGCAGTACGTCACGTTTGGTCTCACCAGACAACCGTCCGAACCAGCGATTCGTTGAACGTGCGTTTAGTCCGGGCAGTGACGAAGAGGCCGAGGCCAAGAACCTCCCCAATGTTCCTGTGGGCTCCGTGGGAGGCATACTCTAGTGCCCAACGAGCAGCGTGCACTCGCTATCTAGTGATCACGGTGATCACAGTTCTAAGATGTCTAAACACTTTGAGGGCCCTGCCGTCAAGGCTAAGGGCTTGTTCAAAGCTGGCGATGACGAGGAAGAGAAATCTCTCCTAAATCCCTCGCTCGCTGAGACAGCTGGGACCGCAGCCAAAGACGCCAAGCCCTCAAAGAAGAGCAGTGCTCTTCTTTGAGGGCTTCAAATATATCGGAACCTCGGAGCTACGCTGAAACAATAAATGGCCCGTATCACACAGAGTGGAAGTATGCAATCCAGGAGGGGCGGTCAGATATCGGAATAAATGGCACATGGAAGATCGTGGACATTCCGCCCGGCACATCAATCGTATCCGGAAAATGGGTATTTAAGGTAATGTTCAGTATACTGGTTACTATTTTAAGAGTCTCTTCGGCTGCTCGGATGAAGAGAAATCGGAGGAAGAGAAGGGTGCCATCTATGATCACCGGGAAATCGCGAACGACCTCGACCAGCAGTGGGGGGATTTCCAAGTTGCCCATCGTATGTGTGGAGGACCGGTGGTGACACCCGTCAGCCAGGAGCTGCCATCCACCCGAGCGGTTATAGGCCTCCCGAGGAGAGCTCTGGGGCTGACCTCTTTCTGGAGACTCTCATTGCTCCTCTGAGCTTATCGGTGGCCACACTACAAAGGTTGTTTTTAAACGTGTCCTTGTCCAGAAGGAGAAGTTGTTCGCCGACAACTTGGAGGCGGCGCGGTGCGTGCTTTTCGCGCCGCACCGAATCCCTCATAAGGGCTGCACGACTTGTCGTAAGAAGCTTGAAAACCGGAGTGGCTTCTGATCTCTATAGGACTAGCCCTGAATTCTTCACGAGAAAGGTTTGCACTGGATCTCGTGCGAGGGCATGTTCGGGGCGTGAGTTGAGTCTTTTAAGTACTCACCCTCGAAGTTACGGGAGCTCCATGAAGATCAGCCGCTGTCCCTCATCCTGGATCAGCGTGATCTTCGTGTCCGGTTTACCCACTTGGTCAGCAAGCACATGCTGCCAAGGGTTCTTCTGAAGAGCGCATCTTCTAGCGCCCACGATGAGCGCGGGTACGGAGAGTCGTCAACGTCCGTACCCCGTTCGGGCAAGAAGCCCCGGACTACTTATGAAGCTGCCGCCCCTTCGGCTCCCAGATTGCGACAGTCTTCAGCATTCTATCAGGAGCCGTTTAATCGGCTCTCACGGGCTCTCGGACTAGGCAATACCCCTCCACTTCACGAGGAGCTGGCGCTTCCAGCGAAGACGCTTCTAGAGAACCTGCTCCGCGGGGTAGTGGATTTCTCCGTTCCGGTCAAGCAGGGGCGGAGGTGCCCACTAGTACGAGGCTCCTCCGAGGCGCTTCTCTCGCCCGAGTGCTCCACCTGCGGGTCCGACGCAGGGCCCTGAGGATGACCGCCACCGTCCTCGTTCTTGAGATTTCACCTGACCTTGGGACTGACGGTGATGCTGCCGCCAAGGCCGGGAATTAGGGTGTGCTCGCTCGACTGGTGGGCTGCCTGGACCAATTGAAACAGGAGGGTTCGGGGCTGCGTCATCAGGTGGACCGCCGGACCCCTTCGTCCAATCTTGACAAGTCCTTCCGCATGATCCGACGTATTGAGGGTCAGGAACAACGTTCAAGGCCGCCTGCGCCGTACACTTATGGTGCGTACCCGATGTAATCGACGTACTCGGCGTACGCCCCTCAGGTCCGTTCGTACGGGGGCCCACCGGCGTACGGGCCTGATCACAGTCTTGCGAGACTTGGGAACATGCTCCTGCGACGCCGTCGACGCCAAAGGCTGCTCCTCGCTTCAAGGAACTGGACCAAGGCGAGTCTGCGAATCAGCGCCCACCTGCAAATCATAGTACCCCTTAAGTTGTCTAACGTAGAACGTCGGGTGTGTCGTCATTGGCTTTGGTAGATCGGTGGTGTACAACGCATCGTGTCTGGCCAGGACCGCGAGCGATCCGATGAAGCGGTGCTGCAACTTGTTACTACCGACAGAACTGACAGTGTCTAGCGGTAGGTTCCTAGTGTCGAGTAACACTAATTCACCCACTTTGAGCACATTTAATTTTCCTCTTCCATGTTGGTCAGATTACACCTTCTCTCTGTTCTTTGGTCGCTGGCATTCCATCGCGGATTCTGCTGATCACACTCAACTTGGTGTCACAAAGGATTCCACTTGTTTTCGCAGCAAACCCGGTCTCCCATCTGAAGTCTGGGATGAAATGGCTTTCCGACCCTCTTCCCCCACTAAGAATAGAGGACGCAGCGTCATCTCGAAGCGTGAGAGGCACTTTGGGGTGATGGAAGCCTTTCTGGGTAGAACGGCGTGAGCCCTGTGGATGCGTCCACCGCGTTGTCGGCGCGAGCTCAACAACTGGGAGCTGCGCCGACCACGTACCTGGGGCTCCCGCGCACACATTGCACATAGTGACTTCGAGCACTCGATTGACGCGCTCCGTCAGACCGTCTGTCTACGAATTATCCACAGTGGACATCTGCAGACGAGTTACGAGCAAAGGAACCAGCGTTATCCATAACGCGGCTGTGAACCGCGGGTATTAGTCCGAGACAATCGTCTCCAGGAGACTGTGATGGCGGAACTCGTCATCGACGAGCACCTTCATGCTCATCTGTGACGGTAACGGGCTCCGGAGCAAGATGTACCATTTTGCGCATTCGCCACACCAACACCAAAATCCCGCTGTTGCCGTGTCCGTCGGCGGGAAGTCCAAAGACGAAGTCAAGTCCATCGACTCTCAACAGTACGGAAAGGCTCTGTATCGGAGCCAAAGCGTGCTCTGCGAATTTAACCCGCTGACATGTTTCGCATGTCTTCACATACCTGTCGACCCCCTTGTACATGTGGGTCCAGCAGCAAACCTGTGAAATTGACAGAAAGGTCTTCTCGCGACCCATGTGGCCAAAGGAGGGCGCATCGGGCGCTTCCGCGAGGATATCGAACTTCGGATTCCTGTCGTGGGGTACGACCACCCGTGGAAGGTCACTAGGCTCCACGCGGTAATAGAGGAGGCACCGCTTCAACTCCTATCGGTGGATCGGGGAGCGCTGTCGCGACGAAAGCCAGTCGGACTTTGCGCTCGTTCCTCCGGCGAGGAACTTGACGATAGACGCGACAGCCTCATCGTCCCGATACGCCATGCGTACCCGATCATATAGATCTGCTGTCACCCGTGTGATGT